TCTGGGCCATAATGCGGCCTGGCGGGGTAGAGCTTTGTGAGATTGAGACCGCGATGTGGGGGCTCGGCGTTGGTTGGAAGTCCGGCTCGGCCTGAAATGGTGGCTTGGCGAGATGTTTAGGCCGAAGTGTTCCATGAGTGCAATGTCACGACGAAAAGACACGGTAGTCCCTCGCACAGCCTGTTTTACTTTAGCATGACTACGCGGCAAGATTTGGGCAACGTGGATTTCCGGATGTGCAACCCCATCCAAATCTGCAACAAACAGCATTGGTAAGCCCACCTTTAATATTCCGAGCGCCGCAAGCCAAAACAGGTAAGCTGAAGGCCTATTGACCGACAGCTTGCTCGCTTGCTTGCACCTGACACTGAAGGGTCTTTTGCAGCGAGTTGCACTGCACTCAAAAACAGTCAACAGGCCCTGTCTGTGACACACCTCGACCTCTTGCTCGGCATCATCATTGTCCGAAACCTGTAAGCATGAGCCAGCAAGCACGCATGTGTGTGAACCATGATCCCGACATGCAGCGCATACTTGTGATTCAAAACATGACGACAACGGTTGCAGCCAAGGCAAGCTCGGATGCGGTCGGGCCACCTGCCAACACCGAATTTGACAACAAAACGTCACTCTCAATCATTGCTCGACGTCATGTCGGTCAACTCTGGTCTCAGTGCGGGCGTTTATTTTGCTCCTCACTCGGCGCTGTCAGGGCCTGGTACTCCAGCAGCAAGACCTGAGAGATGGCGCAGGAAGGGTGGGATGAGGGCCACCAAGTCTTCTTGCTGCAACGAAAATAGGTCGTCGATGAAGCCTTTGGGAAAATTGGAGCCAAGCACCGCCAAAAACTCCACGTTCCGTTGCCTCACCGTTTCTGCTGCTTTGTGCAGCTTCTTCGACTGCTCTTCGACATCCTTTTGGTTGAGCAGAGTGTTGGACTTGACTTGGACGGCGACTAAACTTCCATTTTCCCGGCGGAAGATGACAAAGTCAAGGGCCATGCAGTTGGCGGGAGCCATGATGACCAGGAAAGGCGACGTGCCGCAGTGATTGATGCCCAGCTCTCGAGCTTCCCGCAGAAAACTTTCGAGCTTTTGTTGTGCCTCGTCCTTGTCTGCTGTTGCAAGGGCGGGATCCTGTGCCAGTGAGTCGTTAAAGCCTATATCCAGGAAGCTTCCACAGCTTGTTTTGAGAGCCTGTGGAAGCTTCTCATGCCCTTTCACAATAGCTAGCATAGCACCAAGAGCGCCTGTAACCTCCGTGAAATACGACGCAGCTTGCTTCATGTGTGTTACGTTGTCGCTTTCAATCGCTGCGCACTTGACACGATACGCTTCGCCCATCATGTGCTGAAGCTTGGCGACCCTAGGAAAGGACTCTATTGGGTTAAACGAGTTCGCGAACCAGGAGGCCGCATGCCAGGCTGCGACTGTTGGCATAAAAAGCCTCTGTTGTTGTGAGGTTTGCCTCGCCTCCACCAGCACGCTTCCCTGGTATATGGCCCCCTGCAGTGACCTGATGCGGCTGACTTGAGCCAGCTGCTGGTAGGGGCAAGCCCGTGAGTCCCACGTCTCGAGCAGTGCCTCCAGCTCTTCTGCCT